CAACTGCTGAACAAATTGAGCTTAGATAAAGGTAATTCCACGAATATCTATTGGCGCTGTTCGAGATATTCTCAAATTTCCAAAGTAATATTGCGAGAAGTGCAACATATAGAAACTATTGCATAACAGGAAAATAATGTTTCTTACGTTTTTGATTAGAAACAATACGGTCAACCGTCGTGGATATTTATTTTTCAGTGCAAGCAGTATGATATAAGGCAGTGAAACAAGAGCCAGGAAGGAAAAAATTACAGTTGGCAGCGTAATGTAAATTTCGCATTCAGTAAGCCTAGGAATATGGCTATTCCATTCTGCCACATAATTCTATACAAATAAAAAAACAAAATAGTTTTACTGATCCATAGTTCAAGCAGAAGTCACCCCTCGACGAAACCATATTGCTAAGTAATGAAAATGCACCGATTGTAGGTAGCAGATATAAGTGATTTGTTCAAACACAGTCTAGGCAAAATGCACAAAATGTCGTTATTAGTCAAAAAACTAGAATTTTGTTTTATATAACAGGTTTTTTTGTGAAATCAATAAACTGTTATCAGATTTACAAAAATGAGTGTAGGTTAAATACAGCCATTGATTGCTCAACAGTACCTGCTATGTTGTTGATTAACTGATATTATCTGCTGTTTAAGAGTGATTTTCTGCTTCAAATGGCTTATTTGGGCACGTTTTGATGAGCACGAATTGTCTTATCTAACAGCCAACTTTTGTAATGATTGACAATTTGCCCTCAGTTCAAACGCTCTGTTTCGGCACTCTCACTCTTCACGAAACGAGTTTTAAGACAGTGCTATACTGCATATTTACTAATTCAACGCACTTTCACAACATTACTCTGATGACTGTAATAGGCACAAGTGTAGGTAACTATTTTACTACTCCTTGTAAAATGCATAAATTAATGATTGCATCTGTGTTAATTTACCTTGTGGTTGGTACAAGTTAGTGGCATATAATGAATGTGAAGGATTCCTTTATAAGTCAAAACTCCTTAAATCTTTAAGGTGCTGCTAGGCAAACTCAATTTACACAACGTGTTCTAATATAAAGACAATCGTGTATTTGGAAATAGGCCATTAGAAATTACGTGCTGTTCATTATTCTCTTTGTTAGTAGAGTTAGGAGTTTTTAAATAAACTTACGGTCCATTTCTTCTCATTGGTCATCTTGGTACTACCCTGCATGGCTTATTGGTAAGTAGGCAGTGAAACACTATAACACACCGATAAATACGTACCTGAGGTGTAGAGAAGCCAGTAAGCCAATTTGAATTTATGTCGTCAATGGAACAGCCAATTATGCAGTTACGCATTCCTCTCCAGCAAATTAGTAGGCCAAAATTTCAGAGTTGCCGAATCCCATGACACCTAAGTGTGTGAAATTAGTTAATAGACAAATGCATTCAGAGGGGTGTCTCAGCACTGCTGCTAATGTTAATTTGAGCGGGTTGTTTAAGGGCAGAACGCACAACGCGACCCAATCGTTTGCATCAATTTTGTTTTTAGTTGGCATTTTCCGACAACTCTCTTTCCAAACCGGTCTGCCCACAAATTTTATCAAAATTTCTTAATAATTTAGGCTAGTAACTGGCTTTTTCTCTAATCTTTGACCCGACCTTGTTGGTCATTTCAAATCCAACTTTGGATATCAAAAGATAATCCGCCACCAACTAGTTTTGCAAGTTTTACGTACGGGGTCTGTCAGAATCAGAGGACGCTATTGACTCGTTAATATTGGTTAACCCAAATCTAACCGATGGTAATCTGAAGGTTGAGCGAAACCCATAACCACGAATTACGCCTCTTCAACTACGTGTACCATCGAGCATTCTGCGGACGTGAAGTTATAATTCCTCCTCGTCTGCTTGGGATAGCAGGTGTTGTAAAGACATGATTATGGTAAAAGAATAGGGGTTTAACATGAAGGATAATATTGACCACATCACCTTCCTCCACAAAGTGGGGATGTGTGCTTTCCTCAACTTCAAGTCACTCAGAGTTACTCGCACTACATTGATGGCGTGCTGAATGCGGTCGATTTCATGTCGGAATAAGATGTGCAGTGGTTTCAAGTGATCTAGCTGCTGCAGCAGTTCCTTAACCTAGAGCAGGCAGAGAGAAGTTTCGAGACGGTGAACGTGATTCAAGACCATGACTGACTGGGATCACAGTTCTCTACCAATCACACACACAGTTGCTTCTTTGCAACTCAGCTTCGAAACGATATCGACGGCTATGGCTAGGTTTCGGTGATTGTCGATCAACCAGTCCAGCACACAGTGACAGTGTTTACTTATAGTGCGTGGAGGCATGAAAATACTCGGACAACACGGCCGAATATTTAAAACTAGTCGAAACAGCGTGAACAAGTTTGGCGCATGGAAACCAGCGCTGCGCACGAAGTAGAACAAGGCGAAATCCAACTTTAAAGCAACTCTGCTTACTAAGTGAACAACGCACTTATGCAACCGTCAAATAATGCACGAATCGTACTATGTAAATGACGCAACATACAATACTTTCAAAGTCGTGAAGTTCAACGCAGGCCGTAACTGAAGAAGTCATAATTTGCATTTCCTGAAAGCAAAAAATAACACTTCAAATTGAGTCTCTGAAATCAGTGAGCTCGATGATGCTCTGGTGATCCACTAGAGCAGTGCGTAAGCAGAGAAGGTAAATACAATAGTTACTTTATTTACCAATTCCTTTCAGAAAATTACCAGCAAATCACGTACATCTAGTTAGCTGGGAAGAAAGCTAAAGTGTGTAACGTTCAACGGAATGACGTAAGTCCACATGCAGGAAAAAATTAGAAGTCATATGAAAATTATCGGAGAAGGGAAATTAAGTAAGCCATTAATTGTAGACTCACCTTCATGCGCAATCCACATGACAGATTTCTGAGTGCACAAAAATGTGGTAAAAGTTGGTGCAGGGAAGCATTAAACTAGGGGCAAATCTCAGCTGTTAATCGGGCTTGCAGCTTGCTAACACGGCGCACATTTAACAATGGGGAACTTCGCCCCATTGCAGGTCTTGGTATTTATTCTAGGTATAATTTAATTTCAATTCTGCTACTTATCAAAATTGAAACTTATGCGATTTTGAAGGTCAGTTTTTTATTATTAAGAGGATTATTAATATGATTTGACTATCTATCGATGAAAAACACAATTAGCTGGATGGAAATATAAACGCATGGATGTAAGCCATTACAGAGCATAAATGACAATGGCTGGCTGTCGTCGTTTTTTAAATTATACACTTTCTTTCATTTCAACACGCGTTAATTTTTTCACAGAATAGGCTACAAATCAGGAAATTGTTATTTGGGAAAACGTTCGAACAGTGATTCATTAAAAAATGGGCATTTGGTGAGATGAATGTGCTTAGACGATTAGAGCTAACAGTGTTGATTCACGCTCGTTAACAATGCTGCTGGACACTCAGACCCACCACTATCCCCATAGCGGCCCTTATCAACAGTCAGGACACGCTTCATCACACATTCCTGCCAACTCCTGAATAGTATACATTTCATTCTAAATTTATTTCTGACCTCAGCATAAACGAAAAAATTTAATCTGGAATATCTTCGACTTTATTGCTTCTAATTCATTCATAGCGTACTTAAGAAAGATATTAACAACGCATCCGGATTTTTCCATTTGCAAAATTGCAGCAGGAATTAAGATTTTTTTGCCTTTTTTTCCTCGAATGAATAAATAACACAAGCGTTCTGAAAGTTGTGTAACTCAGCTTTCGACCAACCGAAGTTTTGACGTTGCCCTACATCCTGATTTACTGAAGGACTGTAATAGATGCATTGTGCAGAAAACACTCTTAGCACTCCGTTTGAAATCATTCCAGAAACAAAATATTATGCATACGGATTATCTTCCACGACTATTGTCTGCAAACTGCCAGTCTGTTTATTTTACCAGCACTAGTGTTATGTGCTATGTAAATTGCTGCCACGATGTTAGAATAATTCGTTCACGTCTGGCGGTGGGCGATCGTCAAATTCCTACCCGCTTCATTGTGATATTTGCTGTTCCCAGTTTTTCGTGTCTTTGAAGATTTAAAATCAGATGCTAACAGAAAGAAAATTATCGCTGTATTTCGAAAGGTACCCCTAAACTATGCGGCTGCAAGTGATCTGGTGAGATCTCTTTCAGAAAGGTTACCGTTAACATTGACTTAGTGGGCGTTCTTAAAACAATGGATGATTTGTGCAGTATAACCTGCCTGGTACTACCGCTTAAAAGCATGGTTTCAGAAATACCTACCAAGGGACATTTGGGCAGCCAAAATTCTAGACGGATGGAGGGCTGGGACAGCGGAATCCTGCGTTGATTGCTGAACTAAGCTAAATCTGACACCTCCAAACTTTAATATCCCCTACTTCAAGGATGCAGCGGTATCTCATCTGGTATTCCGTGTGTCTGTTATAGTTTAGCAGTAGGTTCTTAACAAACCTATTGTTGTAGAAATGAACTTGCCAAAGGCACGGTGGTAGGGGGTGATATTTAAGAGTGCTGACTAGGTCTTGAGGGCGTGTGCCACCGCGTGAGCCGAGCTTTGCTTCAGTTCTCTCGTAAGGCTAGGGAACAACCTAACAGCAACACATTTTCACGGGCAACTGACAGATGGATTGAATGAATAACGTAAATCTGCGCCAATCAAGTGATGATAAACACTGGAGTAACTCCTGTACCACACTTGCCTGTAGCCGATCAATACTTCCAAAAGAGCGCGGCGAAACAGAACACTAAATTAAGACACAGCACATCTCAACTCTTCTCACTCACAAAAGACACTCAAAAGGGACTAGTAAGCAGCAAATTCAACCAGCATCCACCGACTGCTAGTAGAAAAAACCATGGCAAGCGCATCGCTGAACACGAAATCCATCAGTGAAAGGGTTATAAATGTGATGGATTGGCTTAGCGGGAAAAAAAATAACCGATCGGAGGACCATGACTACTTCGATTTCTTCGGGACTGCTCCAAGGAGATTTGACTTCTTAAGCATTCCACGGAATAACGATCCACTACGAGCTTCCAGCTCCTGAGGCTGTCCCATCTCAACTAGGCGACCTGTGTCCAGAACCATTATCCTAAAATGAACAACAGGCGAGATTTCAAATCCCAGGTGTTGTGCGTTTGCCATGGGGATGCATGAGCGAGGCCCAAATGCACGCGTCAAACGAACCTGTCGTAGTCGAGAATCGTGTCGAGACGGTGAGCAATGGTGAGCACGGTGCTGGCGGCGAACTCCTTGCGCACGGTCCGTTGAATCAGCTGATCGGTTTGGGGGTCGACAGCGGCCGTGGCCTCATCCAACACGAGGACCTTCGAGCGTCTGAGGAGAGCTCGGGCGAGACACACAAGTTGGCGTTGGCCTTGACTACAAGCGGATTCGCAAAACACGTACACGTACACGCAGGAGGGCTTTTAGTAATGCAATCCAACGATTAAGGGAAATAAGACAACAACATAATGTCCACTCGGGTGATATCACCTGGACATTCTCAGTGATAGAGAACAACACACAGCAGGTGATGCACTCTCCAGTTGAACAGCTACTGTTTCGTAAGAAATGGATGGACGAAAATTAAGCTCCCTTTGTGCCTTGAGCCCTGCTCTCAAAAATACATGACATGATCGTTCTCTCAAACAGGCTTGATTTCATTTGCCACACAGGAACTCCTGGTGAAGAGTACCTAGCCTGGAGTCAGCTTCATTTTTACAAGTAAATCGTCTTTGCTCTGCAGGGAAGCCTAAATCCCGTCGTCTCGCATGCTGTTTTAGACTTTTAAGCAAACAGTCTTGTGTATTCCAAACATGCACGAAATGGACCGAGGCTGTGGGTTGTGGAA